GTGTGTGAGAGAGTGTGAGGACACATTTGTCTGAGAATGTGTGTGTATGTGTCAAGAGGGATCCTCAAACAGCATTATTGTCTCATCTGGGTTTTGCATGAGTTTCTTCCCATGCTGACCAATCACAGTTGTTGGTGTAGTTACATTTCTGGGAGGTGCACGGCAGGCTTTTGCTTAGGGTACGAAGTTACACTGTATCTACGTTGTCTATTCGATGTAGAACTAGAAATCAGGCTTGACTTGTTTGGAGAAAGCCTCCAGCTTTTCTGCTTGTCAGTTTCTTACTCCAACAGTGACGTCTGAACAAGAGGAACTTTTCTGTCTCGCTACTGTTGCAAAATAAAGTAATGACCTCGATACTTTTATATTTATGTAAAATGTATTTACAGTGGGAACCCAATTCAAGGATTGAAGGTTATTTTTTTATAATATATACATTTTTATAATATGTTTTTTGTTATTTGTAACACATCACTGGAAATTGAACTGGTGCATCTCTTTTTGCTCTTTATAAGTTTATTTAGTAGATTAATTAATGGCATCAAATGACCTATTGCAAAGAAAGGAAATGAGCCATGATGTCTCCAACTATACTGACTGTGCAGACAGAAGCAGAAGGGATGGAGACAAGAAACAAGAGAAACATCAATATAATTTAGAACTAGAATTGCTCATAGATTTCTCCTCATTTCGTAGGGTCCTCCTGAGGAGGAACGCCCAGAATCAGCCACGGCAAGTGAAGGAGAAGAGGAGGAAGAGAAAGAGAAGGAGGAGGAGGAGGAGGAGGAAGAGGAAGATGAGGAGGAAGAGGAAGAAGAGGTAAAGCCCCAGGCATCGCCTCCCTGTCCTCCATCTCAGCCACTGCTCATAGGAAGCTGCTCAGGTTTCATCGAGACCACCGTCAAGATCAAACAGAACGACATGCTGCCCGGACCAAAGGTGTGTGTGTACTGTAATGTAATGTAGGATAAGGAAGAATAACTAAATACAACTGTTCTCTTGTATTTACTTGTCTATCCTGTCTCTTCCGCTCTGTTCATCAGTTGGAGTTGGATGGGAAGGTGGGTTGTGTCCACATGCTGCTGTCTCCAGATCAAATAACCCATCTGACAGACCTTCTGGCAGCCCTCTGCATCGACACTGGTATATCAAAACACAACTACTGTCATAAACACACACCAGTGCCAGGCCCGGGTTACACCGTTTATTTCAGTTTGACTTCGGCCATATTAAATTCTTGGATTTTCTTTTGGCATTACAGGTTATGTTTAATATATCATGGTGATTATGGCATGAAACAAGATAAGTCATGTGCTTAAACTGGCTGATGGGGGAATAAACAGTCAGAGTAAAGTCAGGTTATAGAGATGCCTGTTATAATAAGATGAAAAAATAATAATAAAAGAGTAAAATGTACCAATGATGCTCACATTCATGCGTGCACTCACAAAATAAAATCACAAATTTACTACTTATTCACGAGTTCTTCTGTGTCTAGAAACTAGAAGGTAATCGTGACTGCAGGCTTTAGTAATTCATAATGTGAAACTCCTCAAAGGCAGGAGGACTCACAGATACACACACACACACACACACACACACACACAGACAATGTGCTGTTTGCTCTGTAGCTCAGAGCTGCAGGGTAAGGTCACAGACATCTGTAAATGCCTCATAAATGTGAGGTCACATTCAGCCTGGATCTATCTCTTTTTCTCTCTCACTACTTGCACACATTCATAAAGCTGTTTTTCTGTCCTCTCTCCCCCAGAGCCAGAGACAAAGTGTGGTGGAGTACACAGCCGTCCGTTAGACTCAGACGACCTGCGTATGATTGAAGAGGACCTCAGTAAGCAGCTGGGCTCCAGTCCCAGAGACAGGGAGTGGGATGTTGAGCCTGACCTGGAGCCCTACATCACCAGCCTGGAGAATGGAGGTACACAGAGCAGGTCCACTTATAAACTGTCTGACTGAGATACAGCGACACCACAGAATGTAGTTTGTAACCATGGCAGTGTAAAAAAAGGGAATGTTTTCCCTTTTTAAATATATAGCATTCATACGGTATTAATAAGGAGCCTCATTAATCTCAAGGTACAATAAATATGTCTTTAGATTGTATAAAATCTACTCCCACTGCTGTGTTTCTTGCAGCGATGTTCTGTGAATTATTTGTGTACATTGTAGTGTTTAACTTAGCACTGTGTCTGTGTGTCTGTGTGCTTGTGCCTACAGAGATGTTTTACTCCATGGGTCCTGCTGGGATGACAAGTAGTGTGACGTCTGTGCGCTCTGGCAGCGAGCTCTCAGACAGTGATATGGAGTCTTCTACACAAAGTCTAGCCAGCTTCACACAGCCTGCAGCTCTGTCTGCACAGGTACAGCCTGTGTGTGTGTGTGTGTGTAACAATATGTAGAGTTCATGTAAGGGAATGGTGATTTCCTTTATTTTATTTTCAATCATTAATATCGACATAATTTAGTGTTATTGAAAAAACTACTTTCTTTATAGTGTTTATAGTGTAGAATGGCAAATATAGCAGAATGTTTATTAGCACAAGAACCATCATTACTGACAGAGAACAACAACAAATACAGAACTGGAACTTGTAAATGTACTTATCTAATCGCAATCTGACTTCCGCTTTAATTTTCCCTCAGGGCATGGTGAACTGTCCAAGGAGATATCCTGTAGCAGGCTGTCTGTCGAGTCTCCCCCATGCAGGCGGCCGGCCCAGAGGTAAAGTTACTGCAGTGCTGAGTAAACGGTTTATAACAGAACTTTGAAAGAGTCTGTAGCTCTAAAATATCAAGTACAGTCCTCAAAATTATACTCAGACTCAGTTATTTTCAGTTATAATTGCACTCTGGACATTATGTCGTCAGAATTTTAACTCTCACCCTCTTACTTGCAGGACGCTCTCACAGCGGCCAGGCAGAGCAGCTGAAGTCCGATGCTTTGTTGCGACTGACTCTTGGCGGGCTCACCCTGACCCTGCTGCAGGAGGACCCGCCCTCTAGGCCCGACGGAGCCTCGTCATTGGCTCAGGTGTCTCAGGTGTTCTTCCGGGAGCTGGCCTTCTTCAAGGACAGCATGTTCAGCGAGAGAGACTTCCATCATCTGAGAGGCGGCTTTTCCAAGGCCTGCCCACACTCCCATCTCAGGTAGAAAAACACAGACACATATTTTATCTTTGCTGAGTTTGAATTCATGTGGACAATTGCTTTTATAACAATTACCGATGGGGAGGTACTTATTTTTGGTGTGTATTTTTTTATGGATGAATATATAAAATGAGGCTTAGGGAAGTTGAAAATTGCATACAAAGGTGAGAAGATGATACTGTACGTACCTTTCTGTATATGATGCTGCTCAAAGAACTTGTAAAATTTATATTTCTGAAATACAATAAACGTTTAATGGCCTGTAGGTATGAGGAATGTGTTACATGTCTGTTGTGCACATTGAGGAACGCCATATTGCAAATGAGGATTATGCTTGGTTTTTTTGGTTTTTTTTCATCAAGCTGTGTGTTTCTTCTCCCTTTTGGATGCTTTCACGTCTGCTCTTACTGCCATCAATACATATATACACACATATACACTGTTGTTGAGGGCTTCTACAAGCTTCTCCTAGCTGAGAGTGACCGTCTAATACTCGTCGTCGTCTCTCCCAGAGTGACAGGGGCAGCAGTGCAGGTTGCTTGTGAGATGCGGAGCGGGAGACGCCACAGTCGGGCCGTGACCTCTGACGTTTCCTTCAGCAGACTGGAGCTGTTAGAGTGCCTCTGGGAGGATGGAAAGCCTCAGTACAGCGAGGTAGAAAATATCTCTTAGTCTGTCTGTGTAGCTCAAGACTCTGTGGTTGTGTTCACACTGACTAAACTGCTGCCATTATAATATATTTTCAATATGGCCAATATTGTTTGCAGTGCAAACAGCAGCAACAGTAAGTGACCACATAAGGAAAGTAGTTTATGTTTGTTGTTCTCTTAACAAGCTGATAAGGAAGACTTGAAAGAACAGTGTGTCTCTGCGTCTCTTTTCCAGTTGCTTCAGTTCCAGAAAGCTGGTATGTTCACAGTTGGAGCTGCAGCCAGACCATGTGCTCAACTACACTACGGCCTCACTGAAAAACACCTGCGCAGGGTATGCATTTACACACACATGCACACATTCTCTCACACACACACACACACACACACACACACACACACACACTCTCTCTCTCACACACACACACACACTCTCACACACTGACTTGATAAATGCCTGTTTAAGCACAAAACCTTTCTTATCTCAAGAAACTGTTTTGAATTCATTTTCAGTTTGTTTTTGTGTAAGGCGTCTTGCATGTCAATGTACAAAATGTGCTGTACAAATGTTTTTTTGGTTTGTGTAAAGTGTTATGATGTTAACACCAGGTCTGGTGTTCGAGAAGTGACGACAAGTGATGACAACCAGAAAAAAAAACATATTCTATAAATGAATAATGATGTCAAATAAAGTGTTTATTGTTTTGATACTATCGAAGTAAGAAAGTTAGATGCTATTACTTTTATAATGTCATCATGATCATAACAGGTACTTATTTTATTTTAAGTTAAGTTTGAAAGACTCTATGAGCCTACATTTTATGTCAGCATGTAATGCTTTAAATTTGATCACTTTCTTGCCAAAAAAACAAAAAAAAATCAATATTCAATGTTTTTTACTACCAGACTTGTGTCCTTAGCAGGTTGCATAACCTTCAAAAATAGTTTAGTGACCAATACAATTATACACCAAAATCCTGGAATGTGACGATGCCAGTAATCATAAGTGTATTCATTCAGACTTGAATCTGTCTGATATTATGAATTAGAAATGTATTTGTAGTTGTCAGGTAAAGGTTTCCCTTTACTAATATTAATTACTAATTAGTAATATTGATTAGTTACACACAAAAATGTGTAATCAAAAAAACTGTGAAACTATGAAACTGACTGACTGATGACATGTTAACAATTTATCAGAAAACTGATTGATCAATCTGTTCTTTAACGTGTGTGTGTGTTGGCAGGGTAAACAGCGGGTAGTGCGGCGGGAAAGTGTAGTCCGGGTGGAGCTGGCAGAGCTGAGCGCTGAGCTGGACCTGGATGTCCTCAGTCGCCTGGGGAGCCTGAGCAAAGCTTTCAGCCACTGTCCCACACAGACTGCTGGACCTGGACTCATACAGGTGGAACCCCACATACAGCTATTCATAAAGAGACTGATTACATAAAGAAGTCATGAAGTGTTTACCTGTTATCAAATTCAATAGTCAGTAACCCAAATAAAACACATGGTGTATAGAAGAAATGCATGATGACGCCGTTAACTGAAGTGACACAGATCAGCATACATGTTGTTGGACCTGTTTTGTCACAGCATGATTAACGATACCAGCAATAAATGCAGTTTGTATTGAGAATCACACAAGGAGAACCTGCACTCTTTCACAATTTGTCTGGCCTTTTTATCTCAAGTCACTGAAGACAAGGAACACAGAAACTGATGAAATCCGTGGAAATCTGACAATATTAGATCTAACAAATGGATAACAGTTAAGAAATGTACCAGGTTGTGTTTTCTACGCTGTACACCGAAATTATGGATTTTAGCTATTCTTCCGTACAGCAGCCCATCTATTTTATAAACCAGATTGCTCATAGGTGAGCAGAAAAGCATTCAGAAAGCACAGAATGTCATTTTGGCTTTAGTAATCCAGTTTGTAGAGTCATGGATTTATGTCAGCACGACATACACAAAGCTTGTTGCAAAAAGCTTGAAAAGGTAATCCTGTCATGTCTGACCAATCGTATTTGTGCTGACACAAACAGGGACAAAATTACCAGGCTTAAGAGTAAATAAGCAGTTCTTCTTCTGAAGCACTAAAGCTACTGAAGCTTCTCAGTGACAGCAGACAACTGAGTACTGTCTGTAACTCTGTGAATCAGCCAGCATTGATAGATAAATACTAAGATTTCTCACTTTCTTTCCTCTCAGACCCAGAGCAGTGAGCTGGTCTCCTCCTTCACCCTCCTTTCCCCCCACGCCATCCTCAGGCTTCGCTTCCCCATACCTGACCTGCGGCCCCTCCCTAAGCGTCGACCGCCGACCCAGAGGGCAGTGCGGCAGGAGACTTTGGTCCTGGAGCTGACGGAGCTGGAGCTGAAGCACCAGGAGGCCCCGGACCTCCAGAGCGAGCAGACGGCCCCTGGACAGCCGTGGGCTCCCTGCCTCACCCAGCTGCTGGAGGCCTCCTTCACGGACCTGCACGGTGGGAACACACACAATCCCTACACAGTGGTTGTTCAGACTGAATGAGTATTCATGACAGTCATACAGTATATTGGGTTTTAAAATAAAACATCAAAACAATAATAAAACTGTAATTATGTCATCCAAGGACTTATTTTAGCATCTTATGTTTAATAAAAGTTGGAAAGCCTTTGTTTTTGTTAATATAGTGCCATTAGTCATTTCTTATGAGTAACTTTAACCTCATAGGATTTGTGGAAGTTGCTTGTTTCCCATTATAAAGCACATATGAAGCAGACCTTTTTAAAATGTGAAATACAGACAGAGAACTCATGTGTTGTCTCTCACCAGGTTCATACGAGGGCTGGGAGGGCGGCTCTTTCCCCTGTATCAGAGTGAAGAAGAACCGTGACTCTCTGCCCAGGTTAGTAGTACTGAACTACATGCTGCAGTCTGTTAGGAATCTGCACTTTGCAGTACCAAAGCTCTCCAAGAAAAAGTTGGAGTTTCTGCTCAGATCTAACAAAAATACAGTTATAATGCACTCTGCCAGCAGTGAGTATTACTTGCACAATGTTTCTGTGAACAGATTATCAGTGCGTGTACGTGGAGGTGAGGCTCAGGGCCCGGCAGCAGGTCTGGATGGGATGAACCTGGGCCTCATCAGGGACCTTGGGGCCGCTTTCTTTGAAAGTCACTGTGAACTCAACGACAAAACCAGCTCTCCGTTCTCCTCCAACCGCACCATGTTTGAGACCGAGGAGGTGCGCTGACACACAGAAAAAATGACTATTTTTTATCTATCAGGTATCTTATGACCTTGTGACCTAAATCTTACCTCCTTCCTTGTTTTAGATGGTGATTCCAGCAGACCCCGAGGAGATGAGTCAGTTTCAGGCGCAGTGTGTCGCTCAGTGTCAGTGTGCTGTGGACATCAGCCTGCCGTTGGCTTACATCCTCCTGCCCAACAAACAAGCCTTCCAGAGCATCTACAACAGGTACGTTAACAGAAGCACAACTGTCTTAAATACAAACAATTTAGGTCTTTTTCATCTTACAAGGTTTTATTGTACTTCAAGTTCACTCTAAGATGAAAACAGAACAGGGCATTGTGTTACAAGGTGCACTTTATCTGCTTCTAATCACCACAGTGTCCTTGTTCTTGAGCTGCTCATGTAGAACTGTTATTAGTTATGTCAGAAATAGCTTCATCTTCTAGCCTTGTTCCTTTTTTGGTCTTTATATTGCTCTTAAATCCTGCATCAGAAGTAACCTTGCTTTTCCTCACCCACCCCATCGTCCAAAAGGATCAATAATGATCTGTTGATGTGGGAGCCTCCTCCACCCTCGGCCCACAGCCCCGACCACAGCCGCCATCACCGCGACGAGTTCCAGCTGTGCAAGTCGGCGTTCAGACTGGGTGAGTTTGACTGTTTTGATGGAAAAACTTAAACAACGTGTAGATCTATCAGCCATAGTAGCAGCTAGCCTGTCAAAACATTTTTCATTAATCAAGCAGTTTGTTTGTGTTGCATTGGGATAATGATGTTTGTTCCTCTCTCTACCACAGACTCTGATTCTGAAGAGGACGAGCCTCACTTCTACTTGGCCAGTGAATCAGCTGGAAGGAGTCAACAGTCAGCTCCCCGCCCCAACCACAACCTCAGCCTCCTCTCCCTCACTGTGATTATCGGCAAAGGTCGCCTCCAAGCCAGAACAGACAGGAAGGTGAGCCATGTGGCTGCTAACTATAGGATTTGAAGACCATATACAGGCTATGCACTTGCACCCATAATTGGCTTCATCCAGAGCTGTAGACTCGAGTTGAGACTTTGACTCTTCTGCTGTGAGACTCATTTACTTGAGACTTGATGGTAAAAATATGAAGAGACTTAACTTGACACATACATACTGAAGAATGCAATATTGTGCATAGTTTTGCCTTGTGGAGTTCCGCCAAACTGTCATGAACAATTAATAACAAAACCCGATTACCTGAAACGTCATAACGTGAAGGACCAGTGTGTAAATTAGCCCTTCATTATAAAATTAATTGGTCTTTACAGAAGTAGTTCAATAGTATACTTTCCATTTCATCTCATTGCTTCAGGAGGACCAGAGTCATGGGGAAATTGTGCTCGACCTGGAAGGGGGGAAGATATTCAGTGTGGCACAGCACCAGAACGACCCCAATCTCAACTTTCTGTGTCTGGAGAGCAGACGAGTGGAGCTTTACCATCGAGGTGCACATCGTCCTGTTGTTTACAAACATTTAATTGCAGCGTAATTCATATTTTCCTCTTTAAACTGTGTTGAAACTGATTTAATGCTTTTTAATTTAATGTTGTTGTTTTTTCTTCCCCCCCCACACCACTACAGCGGTGGTGAAAGACACCCCCATCCCACAGCGGTTGGAGATGCCCAACTTCACTCCCCCAAAGCACTTGGACCCTACCATCTACCCCACAGAGGTGGGTGTGAGCAGTGTGAGCGGTAGGGAGGGGGAGCCACAGATGTTGTCCACAGCCATCAAAGTCACATTGGACCCAGAGAGGAGTGTGAAGGTACGTCCTCCTCAAATGCTTTATTTTGCTGCTGGTGCAAGTTTGAAATTGAACAGTTTTTTTGTATTTTGTTCTCCCTGTAGGAGTTCCTGGTTGCCCTTCGACTTCAAGGTGCCACAATGCGGCATTACATGACGCAGACTAATCACAGCTGGCATGAGCAGGTGAGGAGCATTACAAGGAAACTCAAAGTCTTCTAATTATCTTCTTGTCTCTTTTCGTGAAAAGAAAAATCCCCCCTGAACTCAAACTCAGTTACACTTAAACTTAGTTACAAGCAATGTAGCGCTCATTTAAAGGTGGTTTTCTTACTTCCTGCTTTACTTGCCTAATAAAATGAAAAAATGTAAAGGAAATCAGCTGCAACAATTTTCAGCTCTCTTAGAGGTAGATGTCAGATATAAAGATTTGGCGTCAGCCTCTCCGATTCAGAAAATGGCTTCTTCTCTCTTTAGACCAACATTTTTGACATTCCATGTTCATTCAAAAATAGAAATGTATGGATATGGAGTACAAGAGAGTGAGATCCCAATTTCTCTAGCAGAAATATCCGAGTGCAGTGGTAGCAGTATAATATTGTGCAGTGTACAATCCACTGTATGTTCTGAATGTGGTGTGCAGCTGTTGCTTTTGCTAAACTAGAGAAAACCTCATTCTTAATCGTCCTGTTGCTATTCGATATTTAAGGATTTTCTCCAACGAAACTGCCGCTGCTTCATTCAGGCGCTTGCTGTGGGGGAGTTGGAGGCGATTGTCATCTTTCCATTCAGAAAATAGAATACATTAAATTAAAATCCAGAGATTTGGATGCAGACAGCTTGACCAGGAACTTTATAGCGTCTGTGCTGGTAACACAGGTCCCACCAGTACTAAATCTTTAGCTCTGCCAAGAATCCATTTCTTGCTTCCAGAGATAATAAGTATATACTATTACATTGTAGCGAGTAAAGTATGATTTAATATGACAAATAGCATAACAAAGTAGACCTGCAGCTATGTTATTATTGCAGCAATTGCAATTAGTGTTATTTTCCAGTTAGATCATTTGAGTTGTCACCACACGCCACGTTAAAAACAAATCGTGTGAAGGAATTAAAAAAGGTTTGTAATTTACTGTTTTTCCTGCCACCTGAGTCTGTTTTTGTTTGTTACAGCTGGTTGACTTCCTGGATGTCATTGATGATCCTATTCTGGGATACACAGCACCTGCTGTCATCACTGTCCTCCACACACACCTCGCTACCTGTGCTGTCGACTACAGGTAAAATACCTGGAAAATTGTGGTAAAAGGATAGTGCACATTGTACCTTTATCCTTTATTCACCCTCCTCTTCTGTTTTTTCTGTTTTCCAGACCTCTGTATCTCCCACTGCGAGTGTTGTTCACAGCAGAGTCCTTCTCTCTGTCCAGTAATATCATAGTAGACACTGCCACCTTCCACCTCAGGTACAGTTGAACATGACACACAAGACAAGACCAGCTAAAGCAAAGCAAATATTGAACTGAATTAAAATCACAGTATTACAATTATTGGAATGATAATCAGCCCAGTAAATAATTTGAAATGTTACTGTTTATATCACATTATATGAACTGGTGACCCACAGTCTAAGATCTTTTGTGTAAGTTGTGTTTTTGTTGTGTTGTGGTCAGATTCATCCTGGATGACTCTGCTCTCTACCTCTCTGACAAATGTGAGACTGACACCGTGGACTTGAGGAGAGGTAAGACACATGATACATGTGTGCGTACATGTAAAGAATAGTTGTAGAAAATCCAGTTTTTGTGTCATCAGCAGATATCTCCTGTTAGCACTGACACTTACCGCTCCTACAGAGAGGCTGTTTCTTACTGTATGAGTGCTGCATTTGGTTGTGTGTAACCCTAATGTTGTTAGACTAGTGAGTTTCTTCATGTCTGTTTGTAGCCTGTATACTGTTTAGTCTGTTAGAGTTATTCAGCACTAAAAGTATTGAGTAAGACCATAGTTTCTGTCTGTTCATGTAAGATGTTTTTCCAAAGAAAACAATAAATTCCTAATGAGTAAAAACGAGTTAAAAGTGTCTCCCGACATCTCAATTGCAAATGCAGAGACAGATGGGGACCAAATCATCTGTCAAGCAGCCAAGAACGACCAGTTTCACCTGATGAGGAGGAACAGTTACATGAATGATAAATTCATTGATTTTTTTGGATATGTTAACTCAGACCTTATACTTGGACTGTTATCAAACTGAGACTTAAACATTAGACATCAAATATGTTAAACCTGCTGTCTACATCTTCAGAAAGTCTTTTTTCCAAAAACAGATGTTGGAAAATGAGGTCACTCAAATAAAAACCCCCATGTGTCTTTGTGTCACACAGACTATGTGTGTGTTCTGGACATTGACCTGCTTGAGCTCGCCATCACCACATGGAAAGGCAGCAATACGGGCAAGCTGGTGAGTGCTCGCCATCTGTTTACATACCTGTGTTTCCTTCACATTCACTCAGCAGCCACAGAGCATAAAAATGACTACCCCTGTCAGAGAAAATGTGAGCGTAAAACAAAACATTATAATTTAGTTCAATTTCCTTTAAAAACCACTAACGAGGAGAGGCCCCGTGTTTATAAATATTTTTTTTTACCATAATGAAGTTTCACTATAATAATAGCTTCAGACAGCAGTTTAAGACTAGGATCACACGGCGCAGTGATGTTTTGTTTGTCCATTTGCATCGTCTCGTCTTTTCTTTGAGGCATTTGCTTTATCCATTTATGTTTCAGCTGTGTTTTTATTTTATTTTTTACCTTTTTAGCAGTTTTAATTTATGTATTTTTTTTACATTTTTGTCTGTTCACTTATCCAATGCATGTTTTTTTACTTGGTAAATATTGATGTAAACACTGTCTTGGATGGCAAAATGGATGATATTTGTAATTAGCTCTCTTCCTATCTATATAGTAAATGTTCCATGTACTGTCACCACCTTTATTGATTCTAAAAATTAATTAATTTAAATATGCTTCCTCTGTATCCTCCCTTTGTGCTCCAGTCTCAGCCTCTCTTTGAGCTCCGTTGCTCCAACAATGTGGTTCACCTTCATACCTGTGCTGATTCCTGCGCTGCCCTGGTCAATATGCTGCAGTACCTGGTCTCCCAGGGTGACCTGCACCCCCCGCCGCGACACACCTCACCCACCGAAATCGCTGGCCAGAAACTACCAGTAAGACCAGCATATTCACTGCATAACGGAAATAATGAAGCCAAGAAGAGAATATGTAGTCTTTAACATAGAATTTCCAACATAATGAATAGTGAATGAATGCACTGATGTTGCTGATGAGAACAAAATGGTTCCATAAATGTTGAAAAGATGGCATAACATTGTTTAATGTTTGTAATATTCTGTCTTGTTAGCTGTCAGAAAGTCCTGCGTCTGTGCTGCCCTGCCCTCCAGCTGAAACCGCTGAGATCAACCAGTACGACCTGGCTGATGCCCTAATTGACACAGAGAAGAGCCACCGAGAAGAGAGTTTAGATCCAGGTACTGCGTTTGTCTCTTTTCTTTTCACATCCCAACAGGATATGGTTCAGTGAAATTCTGTAATGACCTACATCCTTAGCTATAAAACTGTGGTGAAGTTTGACAGATACAGAGATGTGTATTTGTTACATGAATTTGCCATTTAGGAAGGAAAAACAATCATGAAACTCTGCCCTGGGTCCAGTAACACAAGTGCAGTACTTTATACCTGTGTGCACATGTGCTCAGGTTTAGTGTTTACACTGCTAGCTTGGCTCGACCACAAGTCTGCGTGTTGTAACTGATTATTCTGCATTCTCTGTGTTCGTCCAGGTTCACCCTCCATGCCTAGAGGCTCACCTGTCTCTGTCTACTTGTTCCCTGGTGAAGCTTCTAAGCGCAACCTCTCCGTCCTGCAGGCGGATGACTCTGAGCTGGATGGACTGGTTGCCACAGCAACAGAGGCACAGGCAGATATGATGTCAGACGAAGGCTCTGAGGGCTCCACCGACAACGACGACTTTTGCATCTTGGAGGCTCCCGGCATGGGCATTCCTGTGAGACTCTCTGATTGCTTTTATGGTCCTCTTTATTTTTCCTTCCCCTTTAGCTCACGTTCCATTTTGATAGCATGACTCCTTTTCACAGTTAATCTGTATGCTTCCTCACAAAATGTCCACACATGGGATTTGTTCACAGCCCAAGGACGGGGAGCCAGTGGTGACGGTGCTGTCCCCGGGGCCCATCAGGGTGAAGGAAAGTCACTTCTCCAGGCCTCGAGGCAGTTCAGACCTGCTCCGAGCCCCTAGCCGCTTCCCGGTGCCCCAGAGCAGGGTGGTGCTGCGGGAGATCTCTGTGGTCTGGCACCTCTACGGGGGCAAGGACTTTGGCAGCAAGCCCATGTCCATACACGCTCAGCACGCAAACAGGTAACACAAGGCCACAAATAGGTTCTATAGATTCTTATACAATATATACATCAGTGGTAATGATTGTTTACCGGCATGTGTTATTTGTTCAGTTTTCTCTCACTGTCTTTTCTTTGGCTGTCTCACCATCTCCGTCTCTCTACAGAGGTCGTTCAGTCCCTGCCGGTGTCCGCGGGTCTCCGTCTCGCTCCGCCACCTCATCTCGTCCCCAGAACTCCTGGCGCTGGGCTGGAGGCAGCGGCCGTCAGCACACACTGCTGATGGAGATCCAGCTTACCAAGGTATATATACAGTATGTGTGTACGCTGAATTGAAATTAAACTTAGTTGTTGTCAGTGGGTTAACTCGTAAAAGATCTGAGTTTTTCAATTCAAACTTAGATCTTTTATTGCAATCGATTTTCATGCACCCATACATTTTTGTTTTTTTGTGCCCTGATCCAGACGAAATGTCTGATACCAGGTGTGACTTTTTTTTTGCTGACCGTTGAAAGGAGCTTTCTTGCTGAGAAGATCGATACCACTCTACATTTTTATAGCCTCTATATATCATACAGTTTTGTGAGTGGTATTGATCTTCTCATCTAACTCTTGGCAAGGAATCAAATAAGGAAATGTACTAAAATAAAAAGTATGATTTCTATTCTTTACCATTGTGTGAGTAGAACAACTGTAACAAACAAATTTCCCTTTGATTCTGAAACTATTCCTTTAAATTCAACTTGTAACTAACCTGTACTGCTTCCCTTTTTTAATGCACATTTAAACACCATCTTTTTCAACAAATTCCCCTTGTTTTGTCTTCCAGGTGTCCTTCCAGCATGAGTCCTACCCAGTGGCAGTAGCGGGGCAGGATGGGGAGGGGTCAGTGGCGGTTGGGGTTGGTCCTGGTGGTGAGCAGCTCCTCTCCAGGCAGGTGTTTATCGTCCAGGAGCTGGAGGTTCGGGACCGATTGGCCTCCTCACAAATGAACAAATTCCTCTACCTCTACACCAGCGAGAGCATGCCCCGCCGAGCCCACTCCAACATGGTGAGACAGCAGAGAGGCGGAGAGGGAGGGGATATTGATTGTGTCGTGTATATGATATTCATTGCGTGTTTCCTTTTTGTAGCTGACAGTGAAGGCCCTGCAGGTGTGTCCTGAATCTGGCCTCGGTGGTCCAGAGTGCTGTCTTCGGATCAGCCTGCTGCCACTACGACTTAACATCGACCAGGTAACTCCGACTCCTGAACACTAACAGCGGGTGTAATCCACTCTCAGTCAGACTCTTGTCTGTTTTGAGTTGTATTCATAGCTGTTATGTGAGTGCTTCAGGCCGTAGAGATTCTGTTTTACCTTTCATATCAACATAAGAACTGTATCAGAGTGGAGATAGAAGTTTGAAGAAGATTGAAGTAGTTTGGTACATCATCCAACCAGCCTTTTTTTCTGTCTCCTGTCCAGGACGCACTGTTTTTCCTGAAGGACTTTTTCAGTAATCTAGCTTCCTACGTTAATCCTTACCTGCCTGTGGACCCTGCAACTGAAGGTGAGCTACGTATAATGATGTTTTTTACTTAAGTTACATACTTATGAATATTATACTCCATTTCCTGGCCAATAGAGTTTGCTCTCTAAATGTTACAGCATCCTTGACCTTTAAGGGCTTTTGTCATAGACATAAATATTAAGATTTTAACAAGATCTGTCATGCAGGCTTCTCTCATTTGCTAAGCAGCAAGTACTACATATCATCAGTGTTGCATGCAGAACATTTTTATATGATCACTGATGTTAATTTTGAGCATGTTTAACATTTGATCTTATATGTGTTTTAAGAATGTCTCTGGTTAATGATATTTTCTATTATTTATTTTCAGTGAAGGCAGACCCCTCCCAGAAGACATCTGAGGAGGCAGAGTCAGCTGCAGGTCTGGGGCCTGACCTCACAGCTTCTGTGGAAACTACCTACAGCGAGCAGAGCTCCTCCTCTGCCGGCTCCACCTCCTCCTCCGAGCAGCCAATCTACTTCCGGTAACACTAATAAAAATACTCACAACTTGTCTGCGACAATTAAAGGTTTAAAATATTTATATAGTCTCTCTTCCTCCCCTACTATTTTTAGGGAGTTTCGTTTCACCTCTGAAGTGCCTATCTGGCTTGACTATCATGGCAAACATGTCGTCATTGAACAGGTGAGAGTTCACTCAGCTTGGCCAAAAGCTTATAATAAAGATGTCTGTGTATTTGAATTGTCCAGACTGGCTGTATTTTCACACTTCTGTCCTGCCCTTTGTTTCACAGGGAACGTTTGCAGGGATTCTGATCGGTCTGGCCCAGTTAAACTGTTCTGAGTTGAAGCTGAAGAGGCTCTGCTGCAGACATGGGTATAAATACACACCTCCAGAACCGATATCTCGTTGGTTGCTTGAGTTACATTCCCAAATCTGTTCAGTGTTCAGTGGTTTGGGACTTTTTGTTTGAAAAGCAAACCAGTTGAGTTTTCAGTAAATTTCTTTCTTCTGCAACACTTTTAGTCTCCTTGGTGTAGACAAAGTAATCCAGTACGCCGTCACAGAGTGGCTGACAGACATCAGGAAGAATCAGCTGCCGGGCATTTTGGGAGGTGTTGGCCCAATGCACTCGGTTGTCCAGCTATGTGAGTTGATGCTGCTTTTGTCTGCTCCAAACAGTGAACATTGTCAGCTCTTTATGTTCTTTATCCTGTTTTAACTTTTGTTTCATTCTCTTTTCCTCTCTTTTCCTCTCTTTCCATCTCTTTTCTCTAGTCCATGGAGTGAGGGATCTGTTCTGGTTGCCCATAGAGCAGTACAGGAAGGATGGGCGAATTATTCGAGGTCTCCAGAGGGGGGCAGCGTCCTTTGGCACCTCCACAGCATCAGCTGCTCTGGAGCTCAGCAACAGGCTGGTGCAGGCCATACAGGTAGTCTGTCTACAGGATTTTATAACAAAACATAATCAATTATTGAATTTTTAAAATGCTTTTTAACTCCACTGTCGATCATTTCTCTTACAGGCCACAGCAGAGACGGTGTACGACATTCTGTCTCCAACTCCTCCCCTGAACCGCTTTGCCATCACAGAAGGCCGAGCCCCGTCCAGCCGGCCTCGCAGAGCCGCTCAGCCCGCAGACCTCCGGGAAGGTGTGGCCAAGGCCTACGACACCGTCAGAGAGGTGCGTCCCCCCCCATTGATTATGGATCCTTCTAGAGAACAGAGAATGAGCTCTCACATTCTCATAGTAACTGTACTGTCAACTTTCTACTAATCTGATCATATGAGAAACCCAGTTCATAGAATCTGGATTGGGGATTAGAGAAACCAGATTTTGTCTGAAGGATGAAATTTCTTCCCAGATTTATAATCTGTGATCTTTGTCTTCTGTGATATAACTGAAAATCTTTGGGTTTTGAACTGTTGTTTGTAACAGTTCAACTCCGGGAACAATTTTTCTGACATTTTATAGACCAAACAATTAATAGAAAATTCCAACATTACCTGATTTAGTTCGGTTGGTTTCTTGTCTGCATATAAAAGCACTCAGAAAATAAATATTTTGACTCTCTGCTCTCCAGGGAGTGATTGACACGGCTCAGACCTTGTGCGATGTAGCATCCCGCGGCCACGAACAGAAGGGTCTGCCTGGTGCTGTGGGCGGCGTCCTGCGGCAGATCCCGCCCACCGTGGTGCGACCTTTAATAGTGGCCTCTGAAGCCACCTCCAATCTGCTCGGTGGCATGCGGAACCAGATCAAACCAGACGCTCGGAAAGAGGATTTCCTGAAGTGGCGCACGGAGGAAGGCCAAGAATGATGATAGCTTTTTTTTTTTGTTTTTGTTTTTGTTTTTGTTTTTTGTCCGTGTGAGAGAGAAAGTGTGTGTGTGTGTGTGTGTGATCATGATTGGGAGAGTCTAGGGTTTGAATGGGTATTTGCATGTGTGTACGGACTAATAAGAGTCAGTGTGTGCTCCCAATGCAAAAACAAAACAATGACTAACGACTACTGCAGTTACTGACACCCAGTGTTTTACGTGGCTCCATCATACATCGACTTCACCAGATTGAATCACTCTGTTTTGCATTCATTAGGAGCTCTCCTCATATATCCTCCGCTCAGTGATACACTAGTTACTATATACATGTGCTAACATATCATCATCACTCTCGACTGGCTTCATTTTCAATCCAACCAAGGGCACGTAGGAATATCACTCTCAAGGTTTCACTAGATAGACACATATTGAGGGCACTTCATGAATAGTGCTACTGGAAACTGTTTGTATTTTGATTTAATTAATGAATTTCTGGCACACTTTCACCTTCTTCCAAGGTTCATGGAAAAGAGAAACTGTATAAAGTGTAAAGAATAACTTTATTGTGAGACCATCATGTTTTGGCTTTTGGAGACTGTTTCATGAACCTTGGAAGTAACTGATGTCAGAAATCTCTGCTCTGTTTGTGTTCTTATTCACTGTTCAATCACTAACTGTGAACAGCATCACCAGAAAGGGTTTCCAGCTGATTAATTAAGATATCAGTTGACCTTTCTTGGGTGCAATGTGTGATGAAGCACTTTGGTCTACTTGTTGTCCAGTGATGCTTATAGTGAAGACAGGTAGAATATTTTAATAAGTGTCCTTCGCCAACAGCCTCTAGATGTTGGCAGATGGTTTCCCCCCAGACTTCACAACACAATGTCCTTGGTTCAGGTTTGGCCCCGTTTTGCACCTGTTTCTCTCAGTGCTGTTATTTGTGCCATAAACCTTGCAGAGTGCCCTTTTTTAACTAGTTTGTGTTGCCTTCCTCAATCCTGCCCCCTCCCCACTACAAGTATAACACATATTGGCTCATATTGATACACGTTTCCTGACTGAATAGAGACACCGGATCACACAAAGCCTCTAAACTCTGTAGCACATTGAATTCTGTTGAATCTTCACAAAGTCAAGTTTGACTTGAGTCGTCTGTAACTCACAGTAAACTGTCCAGATGTCAGCCAGTGGTTCTTCTACCTGCAGCTCTTTTGTGCTCCTGTTTCCATGAAGAGTTAAAGACTGGGATCTGAATTAACCTTCTTTGTCTTCAGAATTGCTTTGCCCACTTCTTTAGTTGCCTTCCTGCATATTTTTTATGTTTCTTTATTTGTTTTTTTTTTATTTTGTTAAAACATAAGTATTGTCATACTCATTTTCAAAATAAGAGTTAAGAGGATGTGAATCTGGTGAAAGTGGAAGATGAAAATTGGGTTTTGTGGTTTAAAAAAAGTTTTACATTTTTATCTTTTTTGTTTAATAAGTGTAAGGGATGTGTCTCTGTGTGTTTGTGTGCGTGTGTGCGTGTGAAAATGAGAGAGTGTTTGTGTGCGCGCATGATGCATGTCTGTGAGGGTAACAGGTGGATGCTTGTTACACCTCTTGTGTGTAATTACTATTTACTATATCATAAACTGTATAATACAAAGACGAGGAGTATACAAATTAATACAAAAAATAAAAAATTTGAGTATTAAAAACTGAAAGAGACATCTTTGTTTGATATTTGTGCTGCTAATGATCACCAATATTTACTTAAGGTTAGTGGTGGAATGAAACTTGAGTATTTCCATATAATGTTACTTCAGACTTTTAACTACATTAATTTTACTTTAGAGCTGTTAATAGTTGCTTTGTAAACTTGAAAAAGTTTTAGTTTCCAGATACAAAACATATGATTGACTGAGTTAAAGCTACAACATTAAACATTAAAAGGCTGCTTACATGTTAATGCATCAGTAACAATAATCCAATCATATAATATAAATGAAAATATTCTTTGTACAATATGCTGTCTCAGAATACTGTTTTGTAGTTAAATTTAAATGTATTATTTTTACTTGTAATGGACATTTTTAAACTTTATTTCTACATTGAGTAACAGAACAATCTGAATACTGGTTATTGTAAATATTACCCAATACACTGGTCCTAATTGTATTTTTCTGACATAAAATGTTACATTAAAGTGAATACCATAAAGAGAAGTATCAATAACAAAAACAGCTAAATTAAGGCCATAATCAGGGAACCAACTCAAGAGGAGAAAACGAGTCGGGGACGTTTCTTAGCGACGGAACAGCCGAACTTCCGGTCCACATGTGAGCAGACAGACAGACAGACAGACAGACAGACAGACAGACAGAGAGAGAGAGAGACAGTTACTGG